AGCTGAGCAGCAGGAAAATGACCCTTCCTAGGAGAGATAATGTGCCAATTCCCGGGAGAGTCAACTTCTCGATAATCCACACTTCCCAGCACAGAGCTCAAAACTCAGATGTGTTCCCACGGGCGCATGGTAGAACTACAGAAGATTTGGAAATTTGTCCCTACTGAAAGCATAAATAGAATTATTCTTTGGATCACCAGAAAGCCCAGAGAAATACATCTGAGCCTAACTCCTTGGTTGGTATAAACCAACAGTTCTGTGCTCTCCAAATGATTCTGATGCATGGGCCTGTTTATAAACCTATGGTAAGCCCCCATGGCAGCATCATGGTTCTGCACGTTCAAAAGACATGTTTAACTCCAGCAAGTAAATTTTGTCAAAGGGATAAACTATAGTCAAGGTATAAATTAAATAAGATGTACGTAGTAACACTTGCCCAGGATCTACATAGTAAGCTATGATTTCTATCTATGTAGTAAAATTTGACTTCTATACAGAGGCTGAAGCAATTTAGAACATCATTTAAAAAAAAGAATAAAATGTGTTAGGACAGTTCTGCGTCAGTTAAGGCTGAATCACCACTGGGGTTGAATCATCGATGGAGGCTGAGTCATCACCGGAGGCTAGCTGAATCGTGCCTCTGTTCTGATGTTCTAGCCCAGAAGTTTAAAGCTTGGCACGAAAACAGGTTGAAGCAAATCACTCAAGTGAGAGAGAACGCTTTAAGTTTAAGACATTTATAAAGAAACCAAAATAACTTACTGCTAAGAGCATGAGCCAGTTACTTTTACTCAGACATAATGGTTTGCGTAAGTCAGGGCAAGTAGTGACCACGATATCTGCAAAAGGCAAGACCACGTAAATATTTATGACATCTCCAGCACACAGGCCTGAACTCAAGGATTATGCTGAAGGAAAGATGAACTTATAAGTACTATTCAAAGTATAGCAAAGGCTAGGGCAGTATATGGAATCTTAAATGATAAGAGCTAATTTACACTTAAGCACAGCAAATATAAAGCAAAAGAGGGAGCAAAAATGGAATCTTCGACATTACTGACCAGAGAAAAGGGAAAAGGGTAGATTCCTTCCTTACCGCCCCAGCTTTCTTTCTGGTGGTACCCAGGCAACAGAATCCAACATCATGACCTTGAAAGGCAGAAGCGAAGTCATCCAGTTTCTCAAAGTCCACTACTTCTTGATTCTAGACACCAAAGACATAGCTGTATATTGCTTGATGTTATTAAAACAAAAAAACAGACAAAAAATACCCCCTCTAGATTTAAAGAATGACAGAACATTACTAAAGAGTCCACCCACTTAACATCAAATTTTGCAAGCTCATCTTCTCCCACCAAAAAGCAATTAATCTGAATTCAAAAATCAACAATGTACTTATACGTCCACAGTACACACAATTGGACTAGGTGTGATCTAGATCTCTAAAGTCAGGTTCAATTATAATTTTCTCTCTGGAAAAATAAAAGACCTGTCTGTATACTACCAGGAGAAATACCAATGAGGTATAATGTTGGCGAAGGAAATGGTGTTTGGAGTCTCAAAACCTAGGTTTGAGTCTTGGGTCTGCTACTTACTAGGCATGTTAATAATTTTGGCCAAGTTACTTATATGTCTCAGTTTCTTCAGCAGTAAAATGTGAATGAAAATCTTTCCCTCAGTCTACTCCACGACCCACCTGCATTAGAATCAGTCAGCAGGTGCTTGACAAAAAGGCATATTCCTAGGTCTCACACCAATACTCCTGAATCAGAAACTGCACCCTCGGTAATTCTCATGCCCATGGAAATTTAAGAACCTCCATCTCACCTCTTAAGTTTGTTGTGAAGCTTAAAAAAGAAAAGTTTGGGAAGTTCCCATCATTCAGGACTTTAAATAAAATGTTGCTTTCCCTCTCTACTACTGACTCTTTCAAAAGCATTTTCCTGGCACCATACACAATGCCGAAGAAAAGTATGTTTACAAAAAGTGCCTGACCAAAAGAGGCGCCACCAAAACTCAACTGTCAAAGCACGGAACTCAATTTCAGTTTCTAATGACCAGAGGTGTCTGACACACCCCCATGAAGCCAGACGATGAAGATCACATATTACCTGCCTAAGTCTGAACAAAGATGTCCATTTTAACAGAAAAGTCCTGAGGGACCAAAGACATATGCAAAATGACCTGATCATGGACCTGCAGGAGTCATGAACATTTATTTGTGAGACCGTTTGTTATTTGGAATGTTCTACCTGTGGGTCCAGGCTGGGGGTGGGGGTGGGGGTGGGGTCTCAGAATTAACACTATAGTTTAATTTACTGCAGTTCACAAATAACTCCATTTACAAGGGGAAAGGAATCTCCACCGAGCTCAGGTTTCAAATATTTAGGGGATTAACACCAGACTGAAGTCTGGTCTATCAGTGGGTTAACCACGAAAAGTGTAAGTGACAGGAAAGGGACTATTCCACTTACAGACACAAGCCTGCAGCCCTGAGAAGTCAGGCAGGGATAATTCTTGTAGGTGAATAACCCCACCTCTCAGTGCCATAGACCTTTCCCCCTCTGCAAAGCAATTTCTGATTTGCTAACGTTAGTGTGTAGTGGACAGGTAGACAAAACAAGCAATGGGGTTGAGAAAATTACCCAAGGTCAAAGGGCTTTTTTTTCTAGAAGCCAGCTTAAAGGACCCTGGAAACATGGCTCTTCTCTGTCTCCCTAGACCCCCTTACACTTAGGCCCCATTTTATGGGGACAAAGCCTGAGAGAAGGGCTTTGTCCAAGGCCTGGCAGTGAGGGGGAGGCCCACCTGGACCTACAATCCAGCTTCCAGTAAGGCCTCTCACAGACCAATCGTGGTCACGCTCTGAACACCTCCTGCTGCCACTGCAGGGCAATGTTCAGCCTCGCAGCATAAAATATGCTCACTCTGAAGAACCACTGCGGGTACATTTTTGAGTCCCAGCTCAAATACCCACCACGTTTTTATAAGCTTCCTCGTCGAAGGTGAGCTTCCTCCGGCCAATCAGCGTGACTTTGGAAAAGAGGCCCTGCTCCAGGATTTCTTTCAAGAGCACTCTGCCGGTTTCCCCGCTGGCACCCAAAATAAAGACGGATTTATTCTGCATCCTAAAGTCTTCCCGAAGCCTCGGTAGCGCTTCTGTCTCGGCCATGCTACAGAAATAACATTAACAGGTGCCGGTCTCGGGATATTTAAAGGGACAGCCGTGCTTACCCTGGGAACAAAGGTTATTTGTTCTGGAGGAAGATACGGTTATTCTCTGCAGTCTAGGCGCGGGGGAAAGTGCAGAGTCACCCTCAGGGCGGGGCGCCGTATTGGTTCCCCGCTTCTGAGCCAACCCACACCTTGGAAGGGGCTGGAACAGGGACTGCGCCCGGGTACCAGGAGGCCTCGTTCCCCCACGGTGTCCCCGACTCCGGCCCCTCCTGCCTCCGCCCGCAGGGGCGCGGAGCCCAGCCTGGTCCCGCACGCGAAGGGTTTACCTGGAGCCGGCCCCCGGCCCCGCGTCCTCAGGCTGCAGCAGGAGCAGCGCGACCACCAGGGCCGCCGCCGCCGCCGCCGCAACCGCCGCACTCAGGCCTGCGGGCCGGGACATCCGGCCATCCCTCCGGCTAGGCGCTTTCCTCCCCTCGCCCGACTCTGCGGGGCCCCTCCCCGGTCCGCGCCTACCCGACTTCGTCTTCCGGGTGACTTTGCTCTATCGCTGCTCACCCCGCCCACAGGGGCGGGATGCGGAGGGGTGGCCCGAGCGTGGACCAGAGGGTGCCTGGACGCCGGCGTGGGGGGCCCAGAACACGTGCGCAGCACCAGGCGAGGTAGGAAGCGCGGAGACGACTTCCTAAATAATCTCCGGAACCTTCTCCCCGGCGTTTTTCCTCACCACCTGGGCTGAGCTCGCCCTCCTCCAAGGCCTCAGCCAATAGACTTGACCTTCGTTTATCCCTTTCTAAAACCTGTAATGTCAACTGTGTGTTGGACATCTTCATCTTGCATTCAGCACATCAAAACGTAACCCTTCCCTTGTAACCACCCCAAACAGCAATAAAACCAGTCTACTCCTTGCCTCTCTTCAGTGTCACTGTCCCTATTCGTCCGTACAATCTGCATTCACCCCTTCCCTCTCAAGTCAGAAATTCCGGACTGTCACCTTTGACTCCTTTCTCTGCCTTACCACATTCTAGATTAATCACCAAGGCCTACTATCTTCTCTGCCTTTCAAATATTCTCTCATGTGATTCAAGTTCTCTCTGTATCTCACCAGTACAACTGGTTTCCCCGCTCAGGTTCTAGATGGTTGACCCAGGGCGACCTTCCACACCTGATCTCCTGTTCACCCTCCAGAGCCAAGATCCGTGGTTTAGAACATAACTATCTACACTGGGCCTATCCTGGATCCTGAAAGTCCTGGACAGGAGTTAGGATCACACGCTAGAATCTGAACAACACAGTGTTGTGGACATTGGTCATTTTTGGCTGCCCAGCATTCAAACATATCTTATTATAGGGAATTCCAAAATAAGTGGGAGACAGGGCCCTTACCTGCCACTCTAGAAGCCAAGTGAAATATGTTCCCCCTCCCAACTCCTAGAAGATTATTATATGTAGGTGAGATCTAGACTCAGCCAATCAGACACTCTCATCCAGGTTTTTTTTACTTTGTGGGGAGTAATAAAAAGATGCGGTGGAAAACTGAGATACAGTTTGGTTGGGTGGAGCAAAGATACAGGATAATGGCATCGTGGGATCTGTCAGTGATCTGATTATCTGATTGTTTGCTTTGCTTCCTTTAATTCCTGCCTGTTTTCAAAGCCTGTTTGTTATACTTCCTGTTATTCCTGCAATAATTTCATTTTCTGCTTAAGCTACTTTCTGTTGCTTGCAGTCTAAAACCTTGACTGATACAGAGCAGAGTGGTTTGTTGCACATTGGCCTGCCACAGTGCCTGAACTCTTCCCTTTGAGCTCCTAATGCTTTTCTACTAAAATGCAGCTGAAAATCTTGTCAGCTAACACTGTCTCAAGAATTCATTCATCAAACCTGCTGCACTGATTTTCTTTTTTAAAAAATTGTAGCATAATTAATATACAATAAAATGCACGGGGGCTTCCCTGGTGGCGCAGTGGTTGAGAGTCCGCCTGCCAATGCAGGGGACACGGGTTCGTGCCCCGGTCCGGGAAGATCCCGCATGCCGCGGAGCGGCTGTGCCCGTGAGCCATAGCCACTGAGCCTGCATGTCCGGAGCCTGTGCTCCGCAACGGGAGACACCACAACAGTGAGATTCCCGCGTACTGCAAAAAAAAAAAAGCACGAATGCAAAAGGTTCAGTTCCAAGATTTTAAACAATTGCGCATACACCTAGGTAATCACCACCTAAAACAAGATACAGAACATTTCTTTCACCCCAGAAAGTGCCTTCAATCCCTCCACGTCCCAGAGGCAACCACCTTCTGACCTATCAATACAGATTAGTTTTGCCTGTTATAGAACTTCACTAAATAGAATCATACAGCATGTACTCTTTTGTGTCTCCAGTTTTTTTTGCTCAAGATAATGTTTTTAAGATTCATCCCTATTGTTTACAGGGCTGCGTTATGACCTTCACGGGTCCTAGGGACTTCATGGGCCCCTTCCTTCATAAAAAATAAAATTTAAAATATATCTCTTATAACTGTGTTACTATAATGACAAATATATCTGTCTTATGTAATAAAATATTTTCTTCAACCTAAAAGTTCATTTTTTCCTTCTGATTTTAAAAGAAATTAAAACATTTTCACGGGCCTGGGCTCTGTGCCTACTATGCTGAATGGGTAAGTGAACCCTGGTTGATGTATCAGCAGTTTATTCATTTTTATTGCTGAGCAGCAGTCCAGTGTATGACTATCCCAACACATGTTTAATCATTCTCGTACGGATGGATATTTAGTCTGTTTCTTGTTTTTTGCTCCTATGACTGAGGCTCCCATGAACATTCTTGTACCAGTGGACGTATGTTTTCATTACTCTTAGGTTAATACCTAGGAGAGGAATGACCAAAGAGTTGGCTAAGGTGGGTGCACTATTTTATTCTCCAAGCCACTCGGTATCAATCAATGGTGAAAATCAATCTTGGTAATTTTAGGCATTCCAGTGGATGGTAAGTGGTCAAATGGCTCATCTTTCTTTTAGCAACAGAGTCCTGAGTTTTATCAGACCACGTGGCTGACTATTTAGATTCTATATTTCCCAGCATCACTTGCAAGCTGATGTGACCATGTGACGATGTTTTAGCCAATGAGCTGCAAGCAGAGATAATATGTGCATATTTGAATCACATTTTAATAAGAAAGCTACCTGCTTTCCCCTCCCTTTCCCTTTCCTCCATTCCTTAGGCCAGGATGTGAATGTGGTACAAGTGAGCCAGCTCTGACCATGTGGAGAAAGACACCCTAGAGGATGTCAGAGTAAGAAGCTGGAACCCGAGTCCCTGGATGACTTCATAGAACAGAGCTGCCTACCTACCCTGGACTGTCCGCCCACCTCTGGGCTGTGGGAGAGAAGTCAACTTCTGTCATGTTGGAGCCACTGTAATTGTGTCACAGCAGCTTAGCCAGAATTTTGCCTAATATAAGATGCTTTTAGTCAATCTTGTCAATGGATACTTACTGATTCTCTAATGTGAGCTAAATACTGTGGTAAGGACTATAGATTTTTCCAGGATGAATCAGACACCAGATAAACGTACTCTCACCTGAGACGGCAAGTTATGAATACTTGGGGAGCTAAATAAAAGTACAAGGTAACATTATCCAACATCTCCCAAACTTTCATAGGGTAACACATGCTAAATGCCAAATGAGTGGACAGACAAGGGATGGAAACTCAGAAAAAGATAAGCCCATGGCTTTTCTTCTCTGACAGTTGGCTAGCAACAAGGCCCTGAGATAATGTGACACACCCTAGGCTACCAGGGGGACAGGGCCACAAAATTTCAGGGCAAATGGGAAGGCAAACACATAACGGAAAAAGGCAAAGGAAACACAAGGAAGCTGGGGTAACATGGAAAGGTCCTGGGCCGGAAGACCTGCCTGCCAAGTCCAAGATGGACATTACCTTTGACTTAGATGAAGTTTCTTCATTTATTTGGCCTCCCTTTTCTTTTCTATAAAATGGAAACTGTTGGGCTTCCCTGGTGGCGCAGTGCTTGAGAGTCCGCCTGCCGATGCAGGAGACGCGGGTTCGTGCCCCGTTTCGGGAAGATCCCACATGCCGCGGAGCGGCTGGGCCCGTGAGCCATGGCCGCTGGGCCTGCGCGTCCGGAGCCTGTGCTCCGCAAATGGGAGAGGCCACAACAGTGAGAGGCCCGCATAACGCAAGAAAAAAAAATAAAATAAAATAAAAAAATAAAAATAAAATGGAAACTGTTTTATTATGTTTACTTTGCTCCAAGAAACAGAGACTCACTCATGTTAACTTGAGTAAAGACGGTGAATATTGTTAAGGATACTCATAGTGTGTAAAGGAGACAGAATCTCCAAGAGATCTGAAAATAGGATCTGCTGTAGGATCGGGCCTCAGGGAGACTGAAACTGGAAAGTAGTTCTGTATTTAGGTCAAATGTAGGGTCTTTAGCATCAGGGATCCACGCATCTTCACTTCAGAGCCATATTTTTAGTGACACCTTAATAAAGACTTTCTGTTTCAAGCAACTGGAACACCAACTCAAAATGTTTTGAGCAAAAAAAAAGAAATACACTGACTCATATCGTTGATAACATCAGTGTGTGCGACAGTCTCAGACATTACTGGAGTCAGGCGGTCAGCCAGCGAGGCCAGGACTCAATCCCTCCTCCTCCCTTGGCTCCGCTATCCTTCATGTCCATCTTACTTGCAGACCCCACAACATGACTCGAAGGCGGCGGGCAGCTCCAGCCTGTCATCCTCTGTTTTAGTCAAGGTCCAAGATAGGAAAGACATGGCACTCAAAGTGGGTGGTCTAAGGCAAGGGTACTAAATGGATGACGTTTCAAAGAGCAAAGGAAGAGAGGGGATCAGTTACCAGAACTGAGACAGAGAGAGCTGTCTCACAGGACCCGTGATCTTCAGTAGAGGAACACAGCCAGTATGCAGCAACCCCACAGAGGAACAGCCAGGCGAATAATAGCCCAGCCTCCCTCTCCTTCCCTCATCTCCTGCTGTTACTCCTAATTGGCTGCAGTCAACTAGAAGTTAGAAGGAGCTTATATTGTGCAGACCAGTTTTCTTCAGGGCACAGAGCAGGGGGCAGAAATGAAGAGAGTGGATTATTCAAGATATGAGTGCATGCTACCAGACTTAAGTCCAACAGAAAAGGGCACAACTGTAAGCAAGAGTCCCCAGCTGTGTCTCCTTAGTTCTGCCTGAGAAGCACTAAGGAGACCCTCCTGACCATCACTGTGGCCAGAGGAACGAAGCCTAGATGGGGCCGACGCCTCCCACATGTCTGTGAGTAGAGAAGGAGGTCGTACCCCCAAGGAAAGTAGCAATTTGGATTCCTTTTCTTTCTTTTTCTTCTCTGATCGCTGTGGCTGAGAAGTAGAGGTCACTATTTAAAAAAAGAAAGAAGAATGGATTTAA